CAGCAGAAAGAGCGGGTCTGGGGGAGACGTGGGGTCTGAATCAGAGGTTCTGAGGTTCAGGGGAGCCATGCAGGTACCAGATCTGTGAGCCCAGAACCCTGGAGAGGGTTCTTTTCCAACACCGAGCCTGGACACAGCCAGTGCCGTACGTATTTTTCAATTGAAAAAGGTCTCGGTGTTCAGCTAGCCTTCCGTCATATTCTCTCCTGCTAGGTCTCGTTCCCGGAGCAGACATTCTCGTAAGAGCAGAAGCCGAAGCGGCAGCAGCAAAAGCAGTCATTCGAAGAGCAGATCTCGGTCCAGGTGGGTCTTCCTTGGCGTGAGCAGAGGAGGTCCGCGGGGCACGCCCGTCCCGCTTCCCACTTGGGTTTTAACCACGTTACCAGTCTTCCCTCAGCCCGGGTTTTTCAGCTCAGGATGGGAATCGGGGTTCAGAAAGCGGTCCTTGGCCACCGCAAGCCGTACGCTTCGCGTTAGTCTCCTGTTGTCACAAGCAGCGTGAGGCATGAGGTCGCCCGTGTCTCCTCAGGTCGGGCTCCCGTTCCCGGAGCAAGAGCCGCAGCCGCAGCCAGAGCCGCAGCCGCAGCAAGAAGGAGAAAAGCCGGAGCCCCAGCAAGGACAAGAGCCGCAGCCGCAGCGCGGACAAGCGCCGCAGCAAGAGTAAAGACCAGGCCGAAGAGAAGATCCAGAACAGCGACAACGCCGGCAAGTCCAAGAGCCGGAGTCCCAGTCGGCACAAAAGCAAGAGTAAAAGTCGAAGCAGGAGTCAGGAGAGGCGAGCGGAGGAGAAGCGGGCGAGCGTGAGCAGAAGCAGAAGCAAGGAGAAGAGCCGGAGCCAGGAGAAGGGCCTGCACAAGAGCCGCAGCCGCAGCCGCAGCAAAGGAGGCAGCCGCAGCCGCAGCCGCAGCAAAAGCAAGGACAAGAGGAAGGGGAGGAAGAGGAGCAGGGAGGAGAGCCGCAGCCGGAGCCGCAGCCACAGCAAGAGCGAGAGGAGCAGAAAGCGGGGCGGCAAGCGAGACAGCAAGTCGGGCAGCGGCAAGAAGAAGAAGAAGGAGGACGCCGAGCGCTCCCAGTCCAGGTCGCGCTCCCGCTCTGCCTCCAAGGAGCGCGAGCACGCGAAGGCCGAGTCCGGCCCGAGGGAGGGCCGAGGGGAGAGCGCGGATGCTAGCGCCCATCAGGAGACCCGGTCCCGGTCGAGGTCCAATTCCAAGTCCAAACCGAACCCTCCGTCAGAATCACGCTCCAGATCAAAGTCCGCTTCAAAAACCCGGTCTCGGTCCAAGTCCAGATCCAGGTCTGCGTCCAGATCGCCCTCTCGGTCTAGATCCAGGTCCCACTCGCGGTCCTAACTGGCTACGACCACAGCTGGAACTCCCCGAGAAGTCTTTTGTACATGTTTGGTAGCCGTAGCACAAGTGATCGAAGTAGAACATACGTCACTGCTGTACATTTTTAACTCCCCTAATGGTGTGTCTACAATTGTTAAATCTAAGTGCTTCCTCTCCGTAAAGCCTCCTGGCGCCAGGCCTTCCTGCTCGACTGAAAACAATCTTCTCTTTGAAAACCCCCTTTACTCCTGGCCCACAGTAGAATATCCAAAACGCCTCGGCTCTCAGGCCTGGCCTTTCCCACAGGGAGCTCAGTACCTGGATGGCTTTCAGGCTGGAACGGTGACATAGGTAGGTACGGTGAGTTCGGCCATTTTTGCCCTCGAATTGATGCCCTTTGATGTTTGCCATTTAGTGAAAGTGCTAAGTCTTAAGTTTCCTACCACTTTGGTTTCATACTTTTGGACTTAACAAAGTTGTGAATAGCACAGTCGAGGAAAATTGATACCTGCAGTAACCCATAGGAAATAAACTGTAGAGTTCCATATTCTGGTATTGTGATTATATTGTTTTATATTAAAAAAGAAAAGAAAAGAATTTTTTTTAATTTTATTTTTCCCCGTCTTGCAAAGTATAGTGACCCCTGTTTCCATTAAATTTGAATAAAGACTATTTTTGCTTGACAAGATTTCATGGTGTTTGAATCCGAGTTGCATTTCCTGAGTTATCTTGCTAATTTCTTTTCTCAGCATAAAAAGTTCGTGTCATGGCTGTTTTGTTCCTGGAGGTCACCCATGCGTGGGTAGGGAGCCGCCCTTTGTTCCTAAAAGGATTTTTCTCACCCAACAGAATAAAGGCAGATTTCTTAGGAATTTACAGTCCTTCCTCTCAAGAAGCTTATTTATGGCCAGGCTGATGAGAGACGGGTCAGGTAGGGAACTCAGAGCATCACCAGATGGTTTCTTCACAAACAGCGCTCTCCTCTAGACTGTTCGTTGCACTTCTCACCGTGAATGTGACGCGACATACCTCATCGCCTTAGGATTTGGACTGACCAAAAGCCAGGAAGAAAAACGATACTGGATTACCTTTGTTCCCCTCGTTCTCTGCATTACTTGTCTGGCCTGGCCCTGAAGAAAGGACCAGAGGCACGGTGCTTTCCAATCTGGTCTCGGCCCCTAAAGGACTACTGAGGCATCCGAGCAAAGCGGGCACTGGGAGGAGGGAGTTGTAACTTCATCTCGGTTCAGAGATCTCTTGAGCTAGCACTTAAGCTGAACCTCTAGAGAGGTGGGGGTGGAGGGCATTCCTGTAAAAAAAAAAACAAAAAACAAAACATCTGTGCACCAAGCCACGGAGTTGGGAAAGCACAGGGCAAGGTGCCCAGGGAACGTGGGGTGTGATGATCGGGAATAAGAAGCAAGTTTGGCAGATGGATTGGGTCACGGTGCTTTCGATACCAGGAGGAGGAATTTGGCCTTTGTCCTATAAACATTGGGAACAAAGGAAATATTTAAACAGGAGGGTAAGGGTTGTACAGCTAGGTGCTGCAAGGTTGGTCTGACGTGCATTCTGGGAGCCCAAATGCATGGACACCAGCAATCCGAGAGGCAATACAGTTGACCCTTGAGCAGCATGGCTGAGAACTGTGCAGGCCCACACATACCTGGGTTTTGATACAGTACTCTGTGTTTTCCTTGTGATTTTCTTAATATTTCTGTGGCTTGCTTTACTGTGTGAATTCAGTATATAACACATATACAAGATATGGGTTCGCTGACTTCCCGTCAACAGTAGACCATTAGTAGTTAGGGGAGAGTCAAGTTATATGCAGATTTTTTACTGTAAAGGGGACACTGCCCCTAATCCCTGCATTAAGGGTCAACGTAATTGTAGGTGATGGGCCTGAACAAGGCAGGAGGCGACAGAGAAGGGTTCAGTAGGTGACCTGGGGAAAGGAGTGTCAGAGGTGTTCGTGAAGCCTGAGAAATGGGAAAGACGAAGTTGAGCGAGTTCAGTTTGGGAAACGTGTGGAACTTCAGGGACTGGAACCTCAAACCCCCTAGAGCTTTCCCTCCATTCTTGCGTCATCATGACAAGATGGTAGCTCCCAATCAGAATTCCCACGGCCTCAGACCTCGTGTTGGTCTCCAGTAGGTGAGGAGAATCCAACATTCATTCCCTAATATAAAGACGGGGACATTTCTTTGGGCTTTTTTTCTTTCACAAGTTAAAAAATTTTTAAGCCCAATTTTTAAAAAGTCAACTTAATTTTACTATCCCTAACAGCAGCTCTTTCCAAATTCCCTTCCAGGCTCTTTCCTGTTCATCCATATTCTAAACATAGTTCCATCACGTTTGTATAATTTCACCCTGTCATTTACACGAGCATTGGGAAGCACTCACTCAAATGTCGCGGGCACATTAGTTCTAACCAAATGAATTTATTAGCACATGGAAAGAGTGTAAAGGATGGAAATTCCGTTTGCACATAGAAGGGATTGGCATTTGTTTTTCCCCCCAGCAATTTTAAATTCATTTATATTAAAAAGTTAAAAATCAAGAGACAGATGGAAACTCATCTGTTGGGTTCCAGGCATACACCAGAGATGAATACTTTCACAAACCTGTTTCATCTTGTTCTCACACCACCCTGGGGTCAGTATTGTGAGGTTCAGTTGCAGGTGAACTTGTCCTGCCCCCGGCAGTGTTTGGATAATATCAGAGTGTGTGCCTTCTGTATGCCAGGCACTGGGAATAGTGTATGAAAAGACTGAGAAGGCCCCTCTTACAGAACATGTTTATAGACTAGGATCCCAGGGCTTGCCTCATGATGGTATCAGTACTAAGTGCCTTCTGTGGACCAGATACTGGGCCAGCGTTCAAGGCAAAGCACCCTTGCCACCCCTTAGAAAAGGTTAACCGGAGACCACAATAACATTTGAGGGTAAAGTTGCGTAGTGTTTGGCCTTTCTCCCTGACCTCCTCTACCGTGGCCCAAGGGAAGAATGATCTTGGGAAGCTGAAAGAGGAAGGCCCTGAATTTGATTCATTTGTCGACCTGCACCTGCTATGAGCTAGGTGCTTTTATGTACGTTTGTACGTAATCCCATTTTAAAAGGTGAAGACAAAAACTCAAACGTGCAGTGATTTGCCCAATGTATAGCTAGTGACAAAGCTAGGCTTAATTTTTCGATTTCTCAGGTTCTCCTTCCTTGTAAAATTTCATCACTTGTGGTATAATTACAGGAAGATTTGAAGTTAACAACAGCTAGGATTTGAATTTAGGTTAAGTCACGCAGGATTTCTACAAGACCATCTGCTTTCCTGGAACAATTTCTAAGTTGCTGCAGGACAATGCCACTGGCCCGCTTCTGTGAATTTTAACTGTCCCATCATTTGATCAAGGCCTGCCTGGGGGCACCCATTTGTCTAAGCCCAGGTCATCATCCCACATTCTAGATGCCAAGGAGTGAAGAGAAGGATGGCTCATTTTAGCTTCTACAGTGGGAAATGTGCATTGATGCCCGCAATAAATTCAGTCAGTAAGAAATTTCCCCAAAGTAGGAAGCAGCCAAAGAAATACAAAGCTCCTCTATAACCTCTTTGGATGCTCAAAGTCCACACATACCTTTTTTCCATACTTAATCTCCTCTTGTCCCTCCCCCACCCCAAAAAAGAATGGGAGACAAAAATGTAACAAAACAAGGATAAGTAGAAAGTAGCAACAAATGTGGTAGATTATAAATTATATCAATAATTCGCTCATCCCAGGTGAATTCTACCAAACATTTAGATTTTCTCAAGCTGTTGCAAAAAATACAAGAGGAAGGAAAACTTCCAAATTCATTTTATAAGACCAGTATCATCCTGGCACCAAAACCAGATAGACACTGGAAAAAGGAACTACAGGCCAATGTCTCATGAATATTGAAGCAAAAATCCTCAACAAAATTTTAGCAAACTAAATCCAACAATATTAAGAGTTACATACAACCAACCAGTGGCATTTATTCCCAGGATGCAAGTGGTTCGATATTTGCAAATCAGTTGTGATTGCTTATCAAGAGGATAAAAACTATATGTTGATTTCAACAGATGTAGAGAAAACATTTACAAAGTACAGCATCTATTCATGATAAAAAAAAAAAAAATAACCCTCCGCACGATAGGTGTGGAGGGAATATACCTCAACATAAAAAACCTTATATGAAAAACCCATAACCAACATCATACTCATTGACGAAAAAACAGCTTTCCTCTAAGGTCAGTAACAAGAGAATGATACCCATTCTCGCCACTTTTATCAACATAGTATTGGAAATCCTAGCCACAGCAATTAGACAACACAAATCAAAGGCAGGGTGCCTGGGTGGCTCAGTCGGTTGAGCGTCCAACTTCAGCTCAGGTCATGATCTCAACAGTTCGTGGATTCGAGCCCGGCATCAGGCTCTATACTGACAGCTCAGAGCCTGGTGCCTGCTTCGGATGCTTCGGATTCTCTGTGTGTGTGTGTGTGTGTGTGTGTGTGTGTGTGTGTGTGTCAAAAATAAACACTAAGAAAAAAATTTTTAAAGAAATAAAAGGCATCCAAATTGGTAAGGAAGGAGTAAAATATTTACAGATGACATGATAACAATATAGAGAAAGCCCTAAAGACTCCACCAAAGAACTACAAGAGCTGACAGATGAATTCAGTAAAGTCACAGGATCCAAAGTTGATTACAGAAATCTATTGGATTTCTATACGCTAATAATGAAGCAGCAGAAAGTGAAATTAAGAAAACAATTCCATTTACAATTACACCAAAAAATAGACCAACTGCTCAATCGAACAGAATGTAAAACCCAGAAATAAACCCACAATTGTATGGTCAGTTAATCTTCAACAAAGGAATAAATGGATATACAATGGGAAGAAGTCTTTAAAGCAAATAGTATTGGGAAAACTGGACAGCCACAGGTAAAAGTCTGAAACTAGACCACTTTCCTACGCTATACGCAAATACAAACTCAAAATGGACGAAAGGCCTAAATGTGAGATCTGAAACCATAAAAATCCTTGAAGAGAGCACAGGCAGTAGTAATCTGACATCAGCTGTAGTAACATCTTTCTAAGTGTCTCCTCAGGCATGGGAAATAAAAGCAAAAACTATTGAGGCTACATATAAAATAAAG